AGTCGAGATAAGGGATTAAGTTCCTCGTGGCTTTTCGCAAAGCTCTCGGTTTCCCACACTCATTCTTATCAGCTAAACTGAACTCCTGGATTTTGGTTAGTCATTAATGAGGCGGTGACACGAGTATGTGAGTTCATGAATAGAGGAGAATATCCATGGCGTTGCCCTGGCAGTGTAGGATTTCATATTGAATTTTGGGAATGCGATAGAAATCTGCTGAGCTTGTGGAATTCATTTCAATTAGGAGGCAGGGTTCTAGAGGATTTTGCGTTTGCTTTTATATGGATGATTTTCTATAGATTAGTTTAGACAAAGGAGCCTTTCATGGCATGTTGTGCAGAATTAAATTGATCTTTATTTTAATAAATAAAATACAAAACTGTCGACTTTGTGGAGTAATCAAATCATTGTATATATACGACAAGAAATCTACCTAAGAGTGTATGTACTTAATAATAACTTTGTTGATATTGGAAATACAACTGACTCATCTATGTTTATTACGTTGTTTACGTACTGAATATTTAACAGTTCATAAAAATATAAATTAGTATACTAAAGAGAAGGACTCATAAAAATACAACAAAAATTGTTTATATCTCCCCGATTGACATAAAACAGCTCATTGTGTGGACATCAAGTTGCATATCTGTTTCTGTGCCTTTCTCGCTTCTTTATAACCCTTTTAGGTTTAACACTCTTTCCACACTAGATGTTGCAGCGGAACTTGGGTGCAATACCCCCACTTTTAAGTCCTTATATGGCCCACTTATATTCCGCACAGAAAACCAACTTGCATGAGCTTAGTCAGCGCTTACACGCAAAAATCGCACACATCAGGCAGTCATGGAATAGCATATATGGCTATATGTGTATATTCTCTGGGCATGTATGTTCTTTTTTTTACAAAATTCAACGAGGCATGCAAAATGCCACCGAAATGAAATGCGCAAACAACAATGGCGAAACAGGAGCAACAACTAGTTTGGTCTGACTACGGCTTTAGTTTTAAATTATTCTGCGCAATTTTATTTCGGTCTGGCCGTACCTTCCCAAGAGGTGTTAATCAAATGGGCAGTGTGTCCCACATGATAAATGTCCGGAGAGGAAAACACATTGTGGGCGGTGGTGTCCAAATCCCTAGGGCTTCTCTTCGCCAAATGACATTTTCAAATTTTGTTTCATATTGCCCGGGTCAGAAAAGGGCAAAATTTAATTTTGCCTTTGTTATTAGTATTTTGATCAGGTATTTTATATTCATTGAGTATATAAAAATTATAACTATGATCACCTTGGTTAAATTACTGAATTATATTTGATTAAAATTTATAGACAATTTTAATTTATAGTTTATGGAATTTCTCACTTTAGTGATGTAGACTTTATCTCCTTACTATTCCGTTGTTTAATTTCCAGTGAAATTTTGAAGAAACAAAAAAAGGTTTAACAAAATTGACAAATATTTCAGTGAAATTAATTATGTTACCTGCCTATAACATTTTTATAAGAATTTCTTGGTTAAAAATAATAATATTTTACATTAATTTATATAGGACATATATTAATTATATAGCTTATGGAACTTCCCACTTGAATGATGTATTATTAATTCCACCTTTTATTCTGTTTTTAATTTTCAAGTTAAATTTAGAATAATAAAACAATTTATTTGGCTTACAAATTATATTAAATTGGTATATACTCTATTTTTATTTTAAATTGTTGGTTAAATTATTGAATTATATTTGACCTGAATTTAAAGCTTGTGGAATTTAGCACTTCATTGATGTATTATTAATTCCACTATTGTTCTGTTCTTAATTTCCAAGTAAAATGTGGCTTGATGAAACATTAAATACAGTAAATACTTCAGGAGAATTAATCGCACTACCAGTTACTTAAATTTCCATTATAATTCCTTCATCGACTGTCGAGCTAGTTCCCCAAACCGCACTCGAATGCCCGCCATATTATAAGTTCCGGCTTGGCCTTGTTTTGCGGTTAAGTCCCTATGCCACATGCCCCGAAAAGTATGCCACGTTGTTGCCGTTGCAAATGTCGCTTTTTGCGCTTTTTTGCTGCCTGCATTTTATGACTCTGCTGCAGTGGTGTGTGTGTATGTGTGTGTATCTGTAAGTGCGTCTGTGTCTGTGTGTGAGCGAGTAATTGTTACATGCATTCAAGTTGACTTGCTGCGGTTTATCTGCATTGTAAACCCCCTTTTCCCTGTCCCCCAGCCCTTACACATTGGGAATTTAGTGCCACGACAATGCCATATTATTAGTTATCCTTTCCCAGCCCCTGGAAACCCTGGAACCCCCCGCCCCCTGCCACACCCCTTGTAAAACCGAGTTGTGCATAATAAATTAACCGCATGGCCGGTTCGAGTTTTGCTCATTAAAGCGCATTTGTATTTTGTTGTGCATAAAACATTAAGCGAAAATGAGCCAACGTGACCAGGACAAAGCTCATGTCCTTCCAAAATGCCTACATATATATATATATATATATATAAATATATGTGTGTGTGTGTGTCCTTGCCTGGGTGTGCGTGCGTGTGCGTAATTACACATGTATCCTGGCTGCCCACTCGAAACAAATTCATTTCCATTCATATTTATACGGCAAAGTGAGAAAGATTACCATCGAACGTGGTGTTCGACCTGTTCTCGGGGGATCCCCTGTAATTATGTGATTAAAACGCTCTCGACCCGTGGGCCCCGTATTGATTTTAAATTGAATAAACTTGTAATTAAGTGAAACGGCCTTTCACTGCACTCACATCAATGTGTGGTTTGTGTTTTTGGCGGCTGGGGATTTGACAGAATAGGATCGAAATGGTTTGGAATTTGCTTGGAAATTTAAGAAGGCCAATTATAAAATATTCTATAAAGCCCAACAAAATATAAGTGGCCTACTTAAAGCTGAAATTATATGTTAATGTCAATAGTGCACTAAAAAAAATAAATTTAAAACATATTTATTTTAATTTCTTAAACGTCTTAAATGAAAAAAAAGTCTCAACATTTTAGTATCTAACTACAACTTTTTTCAAAGCTAAACTATTTGTGATTAATTTAATAATAACACAATAAATAATATATCTCATTAGAAACAAATGTATATAAATCCTTTAATTATTATTCTTATATATCCTTCTCCCATTCTATTTTTAAAATCCCCTCGCATATCCCAGTCCTAAGTTCAACAATAACCATAACCATAACTTATCTCCTATTTATGTATTCCATTCACAGTCACCAGAATAACCCTCCATATAGGAAAGGAAATCCCAAAATGTTATGATAAACTTTATTACTCGAGTCCTTGGTATATATATGAATGAAAATGCAATTTATTTGCTAAATACCAGAGGGGGGCTCATGACCTTAGAGAGCCACACATTTTTTTCTGCTCCGTCACATTTGCTTAGGCATTCAGTGGGAAAAACAATTTAAACTTTCATTACAGCCAACACATTTTGTCCTCCCATTTTGGCCCTCACCCACATTTGGCCACTTGGGCGACACTCATTCATAAATACGAGAGTCTTTTGAGAAGTGCGAGTGGGGTAATTTTCCAGATGCTTCACATCCTTGAGCTCGACTTCTTCCCGGGACTCTGGTTGCCTTCTTTCATCCTTTTCTGAATTTTTCATACCCTTTTGAATGGGTTTTATAGAAAAGTTATAAAGAGAAATTAAGTAAATGTATCTCTTAGTTTGCTTAGATACATTATATGAAGCCTTTAAGTTGTTCACAAAACCAAAATGTTTTAAAATTTCAAATCCACATGGTTTAAAGAATTTTGTTTAATTTAAAGTGGTTTTGTTTTGGATACCATAAAGCCTTAAGTGTATTTAAAAAACCAATGTACTTATATAGCCCTTCTTCCAACTTCTTGTGTGAAATTTGCAGGATTTTTGTGGCATCTTCGGTAGTTGTAGTGGTGCTGAGTAATTCCAGCCACATCTGTGTGTGGCCTCCGCGTTTCCGCTTCCTTCACACCCTTCTTCGACTTCCGCTTCCGGTTCTCGGCGCTCCCTCTTATCATTATTGCTCATCAAGCGTTTCTAATGAAGTCGTAAAAATTGAAAACTTTCAAAGCATGTGAGCGTGTCCTTTATCTCCTTTCTTCCCCCAAACAACCATGTCCTTTTTTTGTGGCGTTGCGGCTTATGTGTTTTGCTTTATTGCCTTCTGCTTATTTTTGTACTTTTTTTCCCGCCCTTCATTTTAGCCCGGTTTTTTTTTATGTCTCTCCCGCCATTAAATGTTTATTTTCCTGTGGCTTTTTCCCCGCTTTCTTTTGGATTTTGTTGAATGTTTTCCGTATTTGTTGTGCAAACTCACATAATCAGCTTTAAGCTCTCTATGCCTGCAGCTTTGTAGGCCGGCATACGCCAGCAAATATTTGCCAACAAACTCGGTTTGTTTGTTCGGTCTCGACCGCTCTCGATTTAATGCTAATTTGGTGTTTCAGCCTCGTAAATAATTACAACTGCCCATGGACATGAACATTAGCCCTAGGAATTGTTTAATTTAGGTTTTGCCATGCCAAAATATTTCTGTTAGCTTAAGGTGTCAATTTATCTTTAAACAATGTGTTATTTAAAATAACATACTAATGCTTGCTATGACAAAATAATGTTAAAATCAATTTGCATTAGCTTTTCTTTAGCTTTTACTTCAACTCCACTTTAAGTTATACCGGTAAGTTCTTTTATGATTTTTAGAAAGGGTATAAGTAGAAATTTAATTTCAAACTAATAAAGAAAATAATGATCTTATTTTAAGGCTAAATCTATAAATTTCTATCATAAAATGTTTTTTTTTTAAATTTATTTTGGGATAAATTGTATAACTTTATTTTATATGTCTAAATAGCATTTGATTTACCTTTCTACAGCTATATTTGTAAAGAAATGTCACTTTTAGGTTGAACATTTTCAAAATTTATACATTTGGCCGTCAAAATTTTAACTATTTGAACAAGGACTTTTCTTTTTTCTTGCTTTAGGATGGTTTGTCGCTTCAATCCATTTTATATTGGTCCCACGCCACCCAGCTGTTGCACGGATCTGAAGCCCGAGTGCGACTGCCCACCCTGCTCACCAGATACAGGGTATCAGGAGCCTCGACCCGTTCATGAGGAGTGCAACAAGGGTGTTTCCGAAAAGGAAACCAAGGAGAGCAAGTGCAATCCCCCCTGCATAGAAGCCCCCAAGAAGGAAAAGAAGGAAAAGTCCAAGAAGTCCGAAAAAACAGATACCAAAAACAATAAATAAAATGAGTTTTTAATAGAAATGTTCCATAAAAAATAGGCGACCTTTTCAATTTTGTTTCGAAAATATAAAAAATTGAATTATGATGGATACGAATGTGCGCGAAGACTCCATAAACTTGGCTTGTTAAAATTCAATTACATGCAGCTCATCCATACAAACATGAACACGTTTATACAACATATCAAATCAAAGTCAACCACAAATATATTTTCAAATTTAATTTTCCCACAAGAAAATGGCAAGAACATGAAGAAACGTCCATAAAAACTCAATAAAAGGCAATAAAATACGTATATAGAGGAATATGGCAGGGCAGACAGACTACAAACAATTCGTTCAAGTTAACGTTTTCTCTGCGAAAGAATTTTCCTTCTTCATCCTTATTTTCCCGGTCTGTTCGCTTCACCACGTCCTTTTGGATCCTTCAGGCTCGCTAATTTCATTTGCCACCCACTTTCCCAAGCAGCTGAAAAACGGGAGGAGAGCCTGTAATTGATTTCATTAAATCATTTACCAAGCCAAGGAGAACGCAAATTGTTAGACAATAGGAAATTACTGAATTAGAGCCCGTTTTTCACAACTCCATTTTCCATTTGGAACATGGAAAATCAGCTAGGACAACTTGCTTTACAAGTTATGTCATGTGTAGCAGACTTTGCTTATTTTCCGATTTCCTATTTGCATTTTTCCTTTGCATTTGCTCAGTTATTGGCCGGGGGCTACTCACTCATAAACATTTTTCTTTGCCAATTTCCGTTGCAAAATGAAAACTGGAGAAATTGATATTCAGGGCTTACTGCTTTAGTTGTTTAGTGATGTTTAGCCAGTCCTGGGGTTATAAATTGATAACCCATTATTTATTTTGTAATTTATATTTACCTACTTCACAGATGGCATTCAAGTTGTTTTCGTTTATTTAACTTTAAATAAATGCTTATACCTAGAAACTTTTAAAAAACATATAAGAAAACATTTTATACGAGTCACGCTTAATGATTAAATATTTTAAAGATCTAATAAAACTTAAATATTTCTTATAATTTTATGGTCTCTTTGGCTATTAATTAAACTCTTATTTCAAGTACATAAGAATCTCTACCAAAAGGCCCCTAAAAGTATGCAGTAAAATAAAGAATATAGAATATGCTGATTTAAAATATATTGTTGCATACTTTTAGACACCTTTTAAAGAGATTTTTAAGTTCTAGTATGTTGGACCCCTGAATGTTTGTTGACATTTTAATTAAATATTGACAAAGTTTAAGAAGTTCTTCAATCACTTTTATATACCTTATAACGTTTGTTTTTCCCCTCCCTAAGGAATTTTGTTCTTCTCTAACCCGCTTATATTCAGCTTCCTTAAATTTGTGTTCTCGTTTCGTAGCTCATGTGTCACCGACATTGTTATCCATTCGTTGGTGGCTTATTCCCGTCGCTTCGTAAATGGACTACGTATTTTTCTTTCCTCGTCTTTGGAATCTAAGCAGCAGCTCCGAAAAGCCGAAAGAAGCTTCCCCCAAGGCACTCGGCCATATCCACTTGGCCCCTTTGGCGTCGTCTTGGCCATTATATATGCATGCCGATGCAAATCCTGGCTGGGTATTCATTTATCATTGACGCTGACTTTTATGCAAGCCATAACTTTGGGATGCGTCTGGGCCGGACATTGATTTGACTGCCGGATCGGAGCTCTTGAATTCCGGTTTTGATTGGCCCAGATTGATGGCTTTGGCGGGTTTGCTCTGCTCTGCTCTCTCACTCTATCCCCTTTCATTTACATTAATTAGTCTGGTAATTGGCAGCAGGTGTCGTTTTTGTTGCCGCCTTTTCCCATTGTTGATCCCTGAACTCGACTTGTATTTACTGGCAATTGCGGCTAACGATTTATTTGCATACAATCATGCGATTCGATTCTGCTTGCGGTGCTGAACTCAAGGGGCTTACCCGAGTGTTTGCTCTCCAAGTAGCTAATTAGTTGAGCAAATTTTGCATTGCATTGCTTGATTGAGGAAGCGGGAGTGATAGAGGGGATTTTATGGTCCAAGGGTTATGGTTTATGGTTTACCAAGGGCTTTCAATCAATAAATGTGTCGGTAATTGAATCCGCTCCTTTTGTATATAGTTCTAGATGTTGCAAATTTCATGTTGTCTCTAAAATTAATCACATATGCAGGACTTCATTATATAGTTAATTTAATTACTAATGGCTCGAGAATGCACGAGCTAGTTGTTAATAATTTAGTAGGGGACTCTATTCGTCTTGATTAACAGAACTATTAAAATTGCAGAAATAACTAAGGTTTTTAAAAGTGTCTAAAAGTAGGCAACACTATATTTGGAATCCAAAAATCTATTGAGGGTTTTCTGAAAGAATCCGTTTCTTTTTTCGTTGCATACTTTTAGGCATCATTTTAAGTGGTTTTTATGACTAAATTAGATAAGAGATGTATTTAATCTCTACTCCCATATTTAAATAATATACTTAACTAAATAAATACAATAAATACAAAAATGAAAATATGACGAACACTTCAAATTTTCGTTTTGATTAACAGCATTATTATAAATTAATGAGTCTGCAAAATAACTAGGGTTTTGAAATAGTTTATAAAAGTGTCTAAAAGTATGCAACACTATATTTGGAACCCGAAAATCCATTAGGGTTTCTGAAAGTAAACGTTAAATGTTTCCTTGCATACTTTTAGATTTAGTGAAAAAATTAAATAAGAGGCGTATCTTATCTCTTCTCTCCTATTTGAATAATATACTTAACAAAATGAACACAATAAATATTAAAATTGAACTATGAAGAACATAAGTAAGTATTACCAATGTTGTTATATTTTCCTCAGTAAGTGAACATTCGAAATGCTATAATTTTTATTTGTTTACCAGAAGACAACTGTTGATTTAGCCGTACCCCCTAATCGGAAAATCGTTTTATTGTCCTCATAACTTATGCATATGGCAGCCAGCCGAAGCTGGAGTATGGGCAAATAAAATAAAATATTAAATGCCACTATAAATTTGCCCAGCTCCAACTATAAATAGCTGTGGAGCCACTTGAAGCAACACTCGCAAATTATGTATGGCCTTCGTGGGGCGTTCAGTGGGTGGTGATGGTGGTGGGTGGTGGGTGGTGGGTGATGGGTGGCAGTGGGTGGTGGATGGTGGGTGTTCCTGCTGTGGCAGCTGTGGTCCGCAACCAAGGACAAACATTTTTGGTAGTGGCTTGTTATTCCTGCTCGTGCGTGTGTTAATGCCAACACGTCGCGCTGTGTTTGCGTCTTCATGCTTTCCAATTAAGTTGGGGAGATAAAACAAAAGCTGGAACAAAGGTGGAAAGCCAGGAGAAAGTACATTTTCCCTAGCCCCAACCACCGGAATTCTGACTTTGTTTGTTGTCCTTTGCCATTTGTTGCCTGTCAAAACAACTTTAGTTTGGGGCCCATCATCCTGGCGAATGAGTAAGGGAAAACTGCTGCCTGCTTTCAGGCGCATTCCGAGTAGTTAACTTTCGGAGATTGCGAATGCGAAATGGAAATCGATTGAATGGCAGCCTGTGTCGTGCGGCATTGATACCACATACACACATAATTAAGCAGCTTATGTCAGAGATTGTTAATCATGGCTAAGAATGACTGAAAGCCACCCAAAGTTTGGCTATAACACTAACTATAAATGGCCGGAGCTCGAGCTCTCGGCAGCAAATCATACATAAGAGAAACGGAAAGTTGGGTTTTTGTAAAACTAGCAAGGTTTCACATTTACATGAAACGATGGATGTAATTTAAGCAATAAATACTATGACTTTTCTAATATCATATTATTTTTTTAGAAAAAGAAACAAAACTATCGAATATCAGATACTCTTTATACTTCAAAAAAAAAATCGTTTTTACAGTTATCTGCTGAAGCAAACTTGCGCTGCGCAGGATTCTCTAGAATTTGAGAATGAAAGATGTCATTTGACACCCTTAAATGGTCAATTCTTTATGAAAAAATATAAAATTCAGTAAGAATCGAGCGAAACCATTTCAATAGTTAAAAAATACTTTAAATTTTTTTAGGTCAAGTACAATTTTTTTGAAAAATAAAATTATCGAATTACAAATTCTCGAAAATGTATTTGAATCAGTTCCTTAAATTAATTCATTGCGGTTCCTGACATATTGCAAGAGTTATATATTAATTTTTATCTACAGTACTCGTAATCCAATCCATGTGCTTTAGAACATTTTCAAAAACGTACAGACCATTAGATGAATAGCTAGCAATACCATGCAAAACCAGCCAATTCCTTGACAAATAATGTACATTTTGTCCAACAAGAAGGCCAGCAGAGTCGATGTTATCGGTCTCGAACTTCTTACAAAATTGCGTAGGTTGGATGGATATTCCATGTCTGAGTTTACAATCGTTGGGACCAATGATACCGGGATCACTACCCATCCCAAGGGAAACCAGTTGGTTTTCTTTTGCGAGCAGACAGATCGGTTTTACTCCATCTGCGAATAAAGGAAGTCAGCGATTGAAGCTATAGATTTACAGAATTAGTTACTGGGATAATTCACACGTCGACTAAGTTTTATCAGAGCTATATCATTTGAGTAAACTGAATAATCCGGATGCCTAAAGATTGAGTCAACTTCGTAATCTCCAATGACTCTAGACCTATGCTTCATAGTCACAGTTCTGCAAATTAAATTAGATATTTAACTTTTAATTAACAAATAACATATTCAGACTCCTTACATAAACATTCGAAGCCATGGTAAGTCTGTGAAATGTGTAAGGACGAAACCTGGAAGCCAAAATAATTATTAAGTTTCATCATCGTTTATTATAAATACTTACGGTCTGTGATCAGCACGCCCTGGGTTTTATGAACCATTCCAACAATGAACACGTCCAATTGATCGTTTATATCTTTACCACCGCAATCTCTATACAACCAAATATTTTCATTATTGCGTAAGCCTTGGGAGTTAACGTCATCCTTATAATCCAGCCTTTTTATAGTATCCTCAATCCAGTCCACATAGCTAGTCACACATGTATAAACTCCAAATCCATTGCAATTGTCTAAACCGTAGCTTATGATCCCTATCTGGGTTTGGCGACCATTGTATTCAGTGGTCAATGGACCACCTGAATCACCACTGCAGGTATCTCCAGATGAACCTCCAGCACAAATCCGATTGGAAGTAATTTGCACTCCGAGCCTCTTTTCGCACTCGGCTCGAAGTAAGTTGTTAAGTGTAACCGTTTGAAGAATGTCGCTAAACTGGCCGTCACGTTTTTTTCCCCATCCAAAAGCATTGAACCACCGAGTGTTCTCTACTTGGTATTTAATTTCCTTATCCAGTACAATGCAGATTGGATAGACTGAGTCTGCGGAGAAACTACTTCAATAAGGATTCTTAAGAGCTCATAGTAAGTTAAAAGCTTAAATACCTTTGTAGGCAACGCTACTGGACAGCTTGAGTAAGGCTATATCATTCACATAAAATCCATATGAACTGTGCACCTCTACGTGGACGACTCTGTACTGAGCTGTGGGTTGACTTTTGTTGTATGCTCCCAAGTAGACGAGTCTTAATTAAATAAATACAAATATACAACAAAATAAATCGGTGCAACATTTTAAAAAAAAATTCTAAATGCTGATTGTTCATCTTTTACTTAATGTTACAATTCTGCAGCTCTATTGAAATTACTCACAAGTTTTGTTGACCAGTTACACAATGAGCAGCAGTTAATATAAAGCCTGAAAGTAAATGTAGTTAAATAAACTCAGGATTTTTTTTAGATACAAACGTTTGTGTATCAGCGACCCGCCACACAAAAACGAATTTGAACTATATATGGCTGCCATCCAGCCTGATTGTTCAGCATTCGAGCCATTGAATATTCTGTAAGTTAAGTGAGAGGGTCCACAGGGTTCCTCGAGATACCGATAAGCTTCCAGGTAAATCGGAAACAAAATTAACAAACAAAACAGAGCTTGAAATGACTGCATTTCACGAAACGCACTTAAGTACTGAAACACAAATGTCTTCAAACCACCACAAGATCATTGTTATCAACAGTAAAAGAGAGTATAATCAATAAAAATAAAATGAGATTTTGAAATTCTTTAGTATGCAAAAAGAGAGTGCTAGATCTGCAGTCATGGGAAATTCCCAATTCCAAGATAATGGAGCTTCCCCTGACGACAAGTTCAAGGCGATCCAGACCTTTCGTGCAACTTTTGTTACCATAGGCTATACTATTTATATAGCGTTATATAAAAAGTAATACTTTTCTGAGTTTATTATCAACCTCGGTCAATTGTTATTGACCTATGCTATGCGTAATTAAATACTGATATATGACAAGTAAGAATATTCTGGTCAAGCATTTCTAGAAATATGAGAAGTTCTTTTGCTTACTTTAATTTTGAAATAGCATTTTTACAGTGAAATTTACACAGAGAGTGTAAGTTTTTAAAAGATCCTTTTAAAATTGTATTGTACAAAAAAAACTTTAAGAAATTTTCATATTTAAAACGTAGGATTTTATAAATCTATGTAAATACAAAAGTTTTTAAAATAAATAAAATAAGAAATGCAAACGCCTTAAAATATTGTGGGCAATAAACATTAGAAAATATGTACTTCATTATACATTCATTCATTCTTATCTTTTAGCCTAAGGCCACTCTAAATCAAGAGTAAAGATCCATAATTTTCTCATTCTCAGAAAAGTCTACTTCAAATTATCTGCCATATAAGAGTCAACCTCTCACTTAACTTAATTATGTGAAAAATATTAATTTTTCCGCAACCTACGCACTCAATTATGCCCATTTAATATTAATGAATTATGCTTATCGGGGAAAAATATGGTTTTTCATCGGACTTTTTCGGTTGATGAGTTTTTGACCTGGGGACTCATGGTGTTAAACGGGCCAAAGTGAAAAGTATTTGATGTACTTAAAAATAAAGTACTCGAACAAATGTAACAACTGTTCTTTCTCCAATAACATTTTCATCAGACAAACAAAAGTTCAATCAATCATGAAGAGCAAAATAATGCCATTTTATTGTAATTTGATTTCTGATGGGCCATACTCAATGAGCAAATAAAAGAACCAAATTAAGCTAAGCGGATTTAGATATCGATTACGAACTCATTCACATAAAAAAGGGGAGTAAACATAAAATAGAAATTCAGTTTGCAAACTTTTTGTGCAAATTTCAATTTCAAGCTGATTTATGTCTTGATTTTTCTATTAAATCCTTTGATGAAAATTTCGCAAATTTGTTTTTTTAAGTACTTGGAATCATTTGTGTTCACTAACATCGATTGCATAAAATAGAGTACTGCTTTTAGCACTTTTAAGCTGTTAAAGTTTCATCTTAATAAAATTTTTAGAGCATTTTGTGGTCGCATATTAAATGTTATTCCGTATTTTATTGATAAATTCTTACAATGCCCCGATGTCAAGAAAGCTGACTTTGTAATCCGCTTATGTGTGCAAATTTGGTGCGAACATTGAATAATCATTCACGCCGACAACAACCAACAATAATAAATAAGTCATTTGCATTATTTCCCTGGATGAAAAGGAGAGATTAGGAAAATTCGTGCTTATTTTGAAGAATAAATGAAAGTACGTAGGCAATGAGGTTGAAGAAAGTTATTGATTTGTTGAATGAAAAATTGTATATGAGGCCTTCCCACAATTTATTTCTTAAAGCAAAAAAGAGCAATATTTCAAAAATGTTTTAGATCTGTAGCACATGTTTTAAAACATTCACTTATAACACTTATCGTCGTTTTTAACTAAACTTCCTAACGTGTTGTTAATTATGTTTCCGGCGACAGTCTGGAAACGACAGCCTCATTACTTAGGACGGACCATGTGTATGAGGTAAAAAGCATAAGACCCTAAAATGATTAATGTATGAACTCGGGAAGTAAAAAAAATACATTAAATAACTGAAAAAATATAGAATTATATATATTAAAAATAAAGCATACCTTTGAATACCCTTCCAGACATCTATTTAGTTAGTTTGTTCACATCAGAATTCGAATATAATGTTAATTCACTGTTCCTATTCAGCATCCGGTGCCAACTCTGTTTTCAGAATTTATGAAACATTATGATACCATTTTGTTTCTGTCTGGAATCATATACGAGTAAGTAAACCATTCATAGTGGTTATAAACATATTTCAGTTATCAGCATCTCATAGTATTATGCCTTGTTATTTTGAAGGGTATAAAGGGCAGGTAACTTTGATAACCCCATTCCCATTTTTCCAGCCTTTTGTGATAACTTGTAAACCTGTGAACCCATGTTGCAAAATGTCAGCTGATTATCAGAGGAGGGCTGATAGGGAAGGTCTTATACAGATGTGTGCTGGTCGGTTATTAACACGCCACGTAAACCGACAATGACGTAAGAGCGACGACGTAACGAAGCAAACACAAATACAAATACAAATACCCCAGGCCCATCAGGGCTTCGGGTTATGTGAGTGTGTGGAAGTGGCAGATCCTGTTGGGAAAACCGGGGACTGACCGAACTCTGGACACCCAGCAGGCAAGGAAAAGCGGAACGAACTTTCCACGGAAAAGCCACCGGAGAGGAGTATTAGCAGAAAGTGGTAATTAAACTAGTTAGGCAACTAATAGAAGGGACAGTGGGTAAAACGGTTGGGCACAAAGTTGGGTAACTACTTCAGGGTAATTGAAAAAATAATTGCCAACGTATTGGGGCATCTCTACGTGGGGTAGTAAATATAGTGTCGATGGAGGTACGCAACCGTTTTCCCTATAACGTTAAATAGAAAGAAATTACATATAAAAAGTATTTAGCAAAAGGTTGTAACTTAAACGTATTCATAAAAAAAAATCATATCTAGATACCAACAAATAATGTAAGTAATAGATTTTTAGATAAAATTATAAAAAGGGATAATCTTACAACAAATTTTCTACCAATAACGTTGATTTCTAAAATCGTTAGTTGATAATATTTTAGAAAAATAATATTATACATATTTATAACACTTTGAAGAACTTATTTTTGAAAAAAAAAACGGATCATAGAAAAATTAATTTACAATAGAAATATGAGTATAGAAAACATATGATATAAATATAACAGAAAACCTATTTTAACAAAAGGTGTAGAAGGTTAAAGAACGCCATATACTAACTGGTTTGTCCAATAACCCCCTATATACCCTCTGCTTTTTGAGTATAGAGGACGGGGCAGAAGTAGATGCCCCGTGATAAAACTGCGGAAGTGGAAAAAATGCCGATAGCATCTGCTTGGGGCAAGAGAAGCGGGAAAAGAAACCGAAGCAGGCTACAAAGGAAGCTGCAGAATGTTGGCCCGGCTCAGACCAGTCAGTTGGGACCAACTCTCGGCCAGGAGTTGGCTTTTTGCGTATGCCTGGCACACGCTGTCTTTAAACTAGTTAGGCAAGGAAGCCGGCTGAATGGGGAAAACTGTTATTCACCTGTCTACCCACGCACAAGGGCCGCAAGGACCCGCCTCAACAATTTCCCGGCATGTGTGGCAGGGTCTGAGGGGTTTTACATGACTGTAAGATGGAAGACATAAACGATTTGGATGACTTTTTGGGGGGTGAGGTGGAGCTTAACCTTGTCGACTGCATTGCGAGGAGCAGAGCATCTGAGCCCTGTCGAGTTCAGCTTCCGTTCTAAGGCTTCTCGCAAGGAAATCGGTTTGTCTTCCGGCAGCGACATCCTTTTACTCCTGCATTTCTATGATTTTCAGCCAGTCAACAAAATGCGAGGAAAGGTGCGCGTTGCTCTGGCTAACGAGCTGAATGGAGTATCACCAGGTCGGGGAATGTTCTCTGGCATGCAGAGGTATGACAAACGACATAAAGGTCGGCACATGTCATGTATACAGGATGATTATGAGGAGAAAGTCTTTTTAAGGACCAGGTATTGGTTACCTTTTAAGGCTATAAAATGTTTTGAAGGCATGTGAAATGGTAAACCTATTTATTAATATTATTTACTACCATATTAACTTAAATAGTATCTTAGTTCTAGGAAAAATCCCATTTATTCCACATTGCCCTTGTCCCTTCTGCATTCTTCACAAAAAATCTCTCAAATATCAAATCCATTAAAAATTTCATCAAGCTCTTCCCCCTCAAAAATTTTTTGCAGAGCATGCTGCGACCCCAAACAATTTGGCTTATCTTCTCGGAAATCGCTAGAGAAGATGACACTTTATTTTATGTTATTCTTTATGCAGGGCATGTTTACCTCATCGCAGAACCCCCCCCTTAACAACCCAGAAATAAAAGAAAAAACCTTTTTGCCCTGGTTTAAAATGTCTTGCGATTTGAGCATTACTGTGTCATATTTTAAGCACGCCAAAATTAGCGCAACGAACTCGCCTGTAAGTATGCACATATATATTTTCTTTCTTGTTTACGTGTCGTATGCGTAATGTGCCAAGTTTTCATCTTGCGAGCCGGTTTTTCTAGACGTGCCCTGGCAGGCATTTCGGAGTTGAAAGTTAAGTCGTTTAACCTACATGTGAGCCCCCAGTACTTAGCCAGATTTGGTGTCAGCTGTGCCCCATTTGCCAACTTCCCACAGCTTGTAAGCAATTACATTAAGCATACGCACTGTTGCCCCCCGCGAAAGAAAACTCTCTTTGCCTTTGTGTTTTTAAATGTTTCCATTTATTGTTTTCCTTTTTTGTTGCCTCTCTAGTTGATTTAAATTAAAATTCACTTTTAATCGTTCATTTTTTGTTGGGTGTACAAACAAATATACAATATTTGGTTTGTTTTTCCTTATTCATTTCAAATCATTCGCGTTTTGCCAGCCTTTCAAATAAAAATACATTTATGTGAAAAAATATGCTCACAATTCAATTTGGTTGTCTGTCTGCGATAAAAAGCAAATAAATTTCCCTTTGAAAACTTTAAATGATTTATGCATTTGGGATAACAACCAATTGATGGTGAAACACAAGAGACAATTTAGTTTTTCCGCTTTGCCTATAATATTTAAATATTCAATACATTCAATCGAAATGTTTACGTTTTTTTGGCCTTCGATAAACATTCAAATAATATTTCTTTCTCAATATATACACATACGTATTTCATATAGTTGTCAATGATTTTTAAATGATTTCACTTAGGTGTATAATTAGAACTAATGATAACATTTCATGTTTTATTTTAAGTACAAGGTTGAGAAGACTCTGAGCTTGGGTAACTAGGATTATCTGAAACGGACCATATGTGGATACTAATTTGTGGCATTTTTGTATAGATCTTAATTGACTTTAATGAATGTGTGTGCTGTGTGAGAATGCAAATCAATTAGAGTTTACTTTTTTTTATCAGCTGCCAAAGGTTATATATGTTAAGGTATTATTCCATTTTCATATAGTTTTTATACATATACAAAAAATTAATCAGTCTAAGTACATTTTTTGCATGCCCTTTATGTTGGTTTTTTGTTGTTTAGGTAGCGTTTAACTTTAACCCCCCCGGGAGCAGTTGATTTGATTGGTAAACTAAAGTTGAACTTATACCATATATATGCAGTTAATATATATATATATATATATAGAATGTGGGTTTTTTGAGTGTTTTCCGTTCAGCAACAAATCAACATGGATAAATCATTACAAGTACACAGTACAGTACACATACAATCCGCATCGCGTTAGGTAGGCTTCCTCCCATCAACTTGCACATATATCACGACCGATCTGCATTATCCTCCGCTAGTTTACTCGAAACCAAGACCTCTTCCTCACGCGAATTTTCCGAAGGACCAGCGTTGCGTTCCCAGTGCCGAATTGCAGTGCTGGGCACTGACTCCTTGTTGGGACTGATCCCTCGAGTCCAGGCACACATTGATCTTGTAGTGCCGTACCAGACCGCCCTCTCTCATGATCCACCGCTGATTCTCCGAGTCGTCACAGGCCTTCAGAACCACTTGGGACCCTCGGGCAAAGGTCACCAGGGTCAGGCAGAGGTCATCGTGCTTTATTTCGCCGCGCTTCGAAAAGGCCCACTCCTGATTGCCGCCCGTGTTGTGGCACGGGAAAATACCTAAGGAGATTATGGCGAAGAAACAAAAAGATATAACAATTAAATAAAAATAATATATGTATATAAAATAATAAAACTTGTTTACTTCAAAATGTGTCCAAAAGTATGCAGCAATATATTCTTTATCTCGAACTCCTATTTATTATTGCGAGGTTGGACTTTCTTTGTTCACTGCATACTTTTAGAAACCTTTATAAATGCAGTTGAAAGACCCGGAGATACGTGCCTCACCCAATATTTCTAAAAATAACCTTAATCTCAATTCATATAAAAAAGATACCTAAAAGTATGCAACAATATATTTTGAGTCTAAAAGTCTATGGACTTATCCCAAAAGGTCGACACTTGTTTTTTCACTGCATACTTTTAGACATATTTATAATTTGTTTGTAGGAAGACCCTGATCTATTTATTTATCTAATATCCTTCTTTTCCCACATTATTAAAACCGGACTAGCTTTTTGTACTCACCCACAGTGCCGTCGATTAAGTGGCCCATCGTGTCCAAGCACTCCGTGCTATCCTGTCGGAACTGGCCAATCTCCTGTGGGTCGGGGGCCTGCAGGTCGGGATAGACATTCTCCAGATACCATTTGAAGGGCTTGCAATGCAATTTTTCCTTCAAAGCCAGACGGTCATCAATGCTAAGCGAGGGAAAGGTACGGAAGGAAAAAAGAACGAAAACAATGTGAAATAAATAACTTGGCCAAAGTATTTTGTGCATGAGAAGCTAAGTTTATAACAAAAATGTAAGTACCAGAAATTTAGAAAAATGAAAATACTTAAAAAGAAAATAGATTTATATTTTTAAAATGATGCACAGAAATAAAAGAAAAGTCTGCATATCAAACATATATCCAAGTTCCAATTTAAATACTATATTTAAAGACTCGTGACTAAAAATATTTCCTTAAGAAATAGATTAAATTATCAGACCTTTATACTTTCTAAAAAAAACAATTTTGTTTCTGTAGAATTTTAAATTGATTATAATTATTGTTTTAGGAGATATATATTTTTTTCTCACAGGCTCATGTAAAGAAAACTTTTGTACCTCTTTAAATTTGAAATGCTCCCGAATTCACTTTGCAAATTGTATGAAAATGTCCGATTTGTTTCAGTGTACTTACTTGCCGAAGGGAATGTTCTTGGCGAGGGGCACGGCGTTGTAGTAATGCTGCTTGTAGTCATCCATCCAAACCTCCGCCGCACGTCTTGTGTTCCTGGCGAAGACGTTGCCACTTCCTCCGGGGAAGGTGTACGGATGCCGTTTGCGGAAGACGTGACCCACCCGGCTGCAGGGGATGATTTCCAGGCTGCCACCGCATTGCCACACGCGGAACGAGATCTCCAGATTCTCGCCGCCCCACACGTCCATCTTCATGTCGTATTTGCCCAGTTTGTTGAAGTAGGCCTTGTCGATGACGAACAACCCGCCGGCAATCATCGGTGTCCGGATGGCAGTGGTGGGGTCATTGTGCCTCATAGCCCGCTCCGAGGGGCTTAGGTATTCCCACTTAAAGATCAGATTCCAATCGAATCCACCTCGCAAATCAGCCGAGGCTCCAATATACTGGAAGTTGTCCATGCTGATCACATCGATGACGGGACAAACCACTCGCGTGGGATCCTCGCGAACGCGTTCCAGAAGCGGTTCCAGCCACATCTCGTTGCACTCTACGTGGCTGTCGAGAAAGGTCAGGACACTGCTGACCGCCGCATCCGCACCCTTGACCCTTGACCTCACCAGACCCTCGCGCTTCTCGTTGCGAATGACCCGCACCTTGTCGATCTTCGCCAGCTCCAGACCATCCTCAGCTAAAATGTGGGTATACAATTAAGTTTAAGATGTTTTAAGAATTTGAAATTCAATGTAGTTCTAGACAAAGAAAAAATTCATAAGATATGCTGATCATTTTGATGAAATTCAGTATCAACTCCATCTAGATATGGGGTGTATCACTTTGATATGTTCGCCATCTTAGTTTTTTCCCTCTTTTTCTATATTGGAGAGTTTTAGAAATGGCTGTCTCGCTCTTAGCTAGAGTATTTTTAGGCGGTATCTAGTTATTTTCTCTCTTTTTCGATCTGAGAGAGTTTACAAAGAGAGAAAAATATCTTATAAATTTACCCTGCCAGTATTAAATTGATCCTTAAGTGTTTTTATTTTGTGCATTTAAAAATAAAGAAAATCACTTACGATGATCACTGTAGTCATCTACCAGGACGATTTCGCGTATCAAATGCTCGGGACTGCGATTGAGGACACTCACAATGGTTCGCAGCAAAGTGGACCTCGCCTCGTTGTGGAAGGTAATGATGACACTCGTCTCGGGCAGATCTTCGCGGTATTTCTTGGTCCGACACCTGGTTTGGTAAAATATGATCCAATTCAGTATTATACTATTCCAAAATGTGTTCCTTCTAAACCTACATGGGATTTCTGGTGTCTGGTATATCCCGATTGCTGGGCAGAGCATCGCTGGCCTCCTGATTGAATCGATTTCTGATGTAGGGATCTTCGCCGTTGCGCAGGGCCCCCGCTCTAATGTAGCCCGCCTCATTAAAGTATTCCACCTCGGTGCCTCGACCACTTGGAGCTACTGGTAATCGACCACCAGGTCCTCCAGTTCCTCCACTGAGACCCTGAAAATTGTGGATTAAGTTTTTTATTTAATCGCTGTTTACTTAAAACTATATACGACGTTTTCTTGTTAAAGGTTACGTAATTTTTAAGGACAATATAAAATGAAAATTTCTTAAAAGTCATTTTTAGATTATTTTAAACTACATATGAACAACTAACTTATATATCCAGAACCCTTTTATACCATAATATTTTAATGATTTTTCTGAACATTTTGAGTAAAGAGCTTTTTTAACAGTCCCCAGAAATGTAAATAATTTTGTTTTTTTTAACTTTTTAAGGAACATCCTTTGCAATATGGTTTAGCATAAGATTACTGAAAAAAATTTAACTTTATTATGTTCATATGTTCCCTTTTAGAAATATATACATTTTAGTTTTCAAGCTCTTGCATTCCCGGATATTTCACTGATACCTTGAAAACTCAAATCATATTCACCATCTCTCTCTAATCCTTACCTGTGATGTCTCCTCTAGGGCCACGATTCCATTCAACTTGAGGCCGTGGACAGCATTGCGCTCGAAGTCCTTTACCGACCCGATTAGGATGACATTGCCACCGGGATCGTCGGCCCCGCTGCCAGCTGCTCCCGCTGCTCCTCCTCCTCCTCCGGCTCCTCCTCCTCCTCCGGCTCCTCCTCCTGCTCCTGCTCCTCCGCCAGCTGGCGCCCACTGGCGGGCGGTGGAGGCTGCGGCCGCCGAGGAGGAGTCGTCCTGGTACTGCTGCATGGCGGTGGCCACCTCACGTAGCCGCAGCGCTCGATTTTCCACCTAAAAGGACACAAGGTCCACGAGGGGAGACAAGTGTTTTAATTTATTTCTTTAATCTGCGCCACATTGGCGACGTTGACGCCCGTTCGGGGCAATAACTCAACTCAACTGGGAGCAATTCCCTTGCACTCAGAGAAATGCAATGTAAGATATACATTTTTGATGGTATTTCAAGGAGGTATATGTTTTTACATATTTTTGAAGTACCATTAAAAAATAATTAAATTTAAATATAATATTTTAATCAATCCAACCTCTTTATTTACTTTGTTATTGATGGTAAACTTTTCTTATTGGTAACTTAAAATATTTTATAATATTTTAGTATCCAACTCAAAATTAAAATGTAAAAACACATTACAAATTTTTTTCAAGTGCATAGAGAGAATGAAAGGGGTTGGGGTTTCGTGCAGGTTTATGGCAAAGTTTCACCAAAGTTTCAGTTCGCAACACAACAGAACAAAACAGAGCCAAAAGCAAAGCATTGGGAACAGTTTTCGTGTTTGCCCCAAGATTAATAATCTATAAATTGCAAATGTTGCCAGGAAGCGGAAAACAAAAGCCCAGGCCACCACCACGACCCAGTTTAAACAATGTCCAATATTTCTCGGCGACAATTTTGCTGAAATAACACGGAAAACCTTTTAGGAGCAAGGCCTGAAACATTTGCTCCCAGTGGCCAAAACTTAGATTGTCTTTAAGAACATCTCAGAGTGGCTAAAACGGGAAATGCATTAATAATTAACGAAAAGAGGACCTCTTTAAGTTCGTTAGACATTTAAGAAGCTGTGTTTTTCAAATATGAAAGCTCAATTGGTATTATTGTTTAGCTTTGGCTTTAATACAAAACCTCGATCTTAAGTAAATCACAAAGCCCAGACCTGACAACTTTCGATAAGCAAACAGAAAAATAACAATGTGTCTGGTTCTTTTAAAAATACAGACAAAGCAGGGACAACAATGTCACACAGCAGACACCGAAATAACCTTGAGACCAAGCCCTATAACACTCATCCCAATAAAACTGAAGAGAATTGATGGGAGTCCTTACTTGAGGACATTTTAAGTAAATAATTTACAAGTGCAAACACGCTGAGGCACGAAATATTTTAAATTGAAGAGCTGTCGGGTGAAATCTTGCATGTCAAATTACGCTTTGCATAAAGGCACATTAAAATATATTATGGGGTAGCTTAGTGTTGAAAACGCCTTTGCAATTTTTGCTAAAAGGCAACATGTTACAGGCCAAACGATTGAAAGACCCACAAAAGAGCCAGAAAAAAAGCTTTCCACTTAAAATTAAAATCACGCATACGCAGCGTGCAACACAAAGTGCCAAAGTCAGCTGAAAAAGTAGAAAAGAAATCGCTTTCAATACGTTTGCCACACATAAATCAGAGTTAGAAGAGCCCCCGATAAAAGGCTCCCGACAAAACTCTTGACAAATAGATTCAACGCAAAAGGGCAATTAATAATCGACTCGGGCCATGGTAGCCGAATCCTCTTTCAGGACCTGAGAAATTGGGTCACTGTTTAGCGGAGTGAAATGATTCATTTGTCAATTTAGTTGGGTCAGTTAGCCAGCCAAGTGGGGGTTAAAGAGCCCTCAAGAAGCTCTCCATTCTGAGTTGTAGCAGATGTTGAATACTTTTTTGGTCCATTGATTCAGTTGGATTTTGGGGGAAAAGCAGTTAAAAGCCTTTTCAAGATGGGTATCTTTATAGATTTTATAAGATAAGTATTATTTAGAGATATTTATATTTTTGCAGTTCTTTTTTCCTTGAATGTAATTAAATTTCACTTTAAAAAATAGTTTATTTTCTGAGAACTACGGTTCAAACGATACATTTTAAATTACAATACATATAGATAAACAAAATCTTATATTTTAAGCATGTAAAGTGATTAAAATCTAATCTATTAACCATTAGTTTTCTTTCTATACATGTCAACGTTAAAGGATCCAATATGCTATAACCAGAATTTGATTTCCCCTTCAAAAGTAAGTGAGTGTTCTCAGAACTTGGGTTTCCAGCGATATCAATTGCACCCACCTCCTGGCAATATGTATTAGATTTCAAAGCCCCCCACAGCGATTTCTGATTCAAAGCAGTCTCAGTTTCATATCGCAAACACCTCAAGGCTGGCTGGAAAATCAAACTGTGACCTAAACCCTTCCATAGGCAAACGGATTACGCATACGCAGCGTAAACACCAAGAACTAAGCCTGAAAGCCAGAGGTCAGCGGAAATGCATTGTGGCAGGACCCCTTTCATGGAGGTTAATTTCGCTTATCAATGGCATCTTAATTAGTTGCATTGTTTAAAGTGGAAACGGCGAACGTTGATTAGCCAAATTCCCAACCGTTAGCACTTAACAATATTGGTTAACCAGCGCAAATTAATCACAATCTTGACTCAATTTTCAGAGCTATTTTTATCACAAGATGGTGGTGGATAAAAATACAAACTTTTCTCTCCATTTGCAAATTTATTTGTCCTTTGGGTTCGGCCAACTCCCATTGCAAACCGTATCTATTTATGGAAATCCTCGGGAGAGTAATGACTGAAAAATGATGCCACTGACGTCAGGGGAAAGATGAAACTTTTTGCTGCCCACCCGAAAGTTCAAAGTCAAGACTCCAAATCATCCACTTGGAGCTCATTAAATTCTAGTTTTGCTCGGACTTGTTATTAACTTTTGGTCAAAAACTATCATCAACTAAACGAGAGCAACAAGTTTTTGGTTATTTTTGGTCATCTCTGGGTTTATCGCTCGAGTTCAATGTTTCCAGCCAAATAGAGATGAGATGGCAAGCAGAAAAACGAATTGTTTTGAATTGAGTTCAGAGCCATTTGCTCTGGCATTGATTGTTTTTTTGTTTGGGGTCACAGAGAAAATATGGAAATTTCGATAAGATTTTTATGGCGTTGTGGTAGAGCTAGTCTTTATTGTGCAATTTTTATGATTTGTGAGCAGAGCTGAAATAATAAACAACAGAAACCCGACTCAATTAAACAGTAATAACAACAGAAAGCTCAAGAAGATGAAATTAATGGGTTTTTGGCAGGGATTATAAGGACTTTGTTTGTCTGTTTTTGTGCTGTGAATTTATTTGAGTATTAAAAACTATTTTTAAAACTCCAGCTGAGCTGGGCAGGCCCTGAATAAGACCTCTATCCAGTTTGATCAGAGTCTCTCACAACTTAACAGATCGTAAGACTTTAAAAAATATATTCAAAATTGATAAGCCTCTACCATTTTGCAATGGCCAACAATTTGATCACTGAAGGCGACCAGGAGTTGCAGCATAAATCTGGAATGGATTCCCCGGACCTGTCCCCCAAGGCGGAATTTTCCACCGGTTCGGTCATCAATGAGATCATCTCCAAGTCCCTGAAATCCGAGGAGGTTCCTTTGCCCAAGCAGCCATCATCTCGCATCACTTTTCGAGCTCTGGCCAGATTGGTAATGATGCTAAACTCAAACCTCAAGAAGGCAAATAAGGCGGGAGATGTGGATTACTGGCGTAATCTCGCCGAGACCCTTGGGGAGGCCAATATCCGCTATAAGAAAGTCACCGACATGCAGCGCAGGAGGATCGACACCCTGGAACAGGATCTTCGCAACCTGGTCAACTTGGCCCGCGAGACCCAACAATTGCTGGCCGAGATCGGAGCCGAGAAGAGGGTCACCCAGGAACTTGGTCATGGCGAACATGCCGACTAGGTTTTACATCATTTCTACTTTCGAACTTCCTTTCAAATCTTTCATAAAGAATTAGTTGATTCACATTTTGCGGTAGTTTTTTATTTATTAAAAATTGTAAATGGAATTTGTGGTGATTTTTCGGAAAAGAGTTTTAGTGTGTTTAGATTTTAAAAAATATTTTCGATTGTTTATAAAAAATAGCATCATTAATAGACGTTATATTTTCGAGAATCTACTCCAATCAAATACCTATTGCTAAGAATAGCTTTTCTAATTTAATTAACAATTTTCAAAAATCTTGACCATCTTTTTGCTACAAAAAAAAAGGATAGATATTTTCGAATAATTTGGTTGGCTTAAAAAGTTTTTTTTATGATTTATTCCCTGAAAATATCTATTACTAATCAAAGCATTTTTAAATTTTAAAATTTGTATTTTCTATATAGATTTTCAAGTTATTGATTTCTCTTAATAATTTGGTTTGTTTATAAAATAAATCATCAACAATGAGCTTCTTTTTGAAGGACCATCTCCCAGAAAAATACATTTCGTTAATTAAAGGTTCTATTACAATTGTCCATTTCCATTTTCTAATTAGTCACATTTTCCTAGGTTTCCCTAATTTCTTTTATAGCTGTTTACCTACCTCAATTTTAATTTGCTTCTTCAATCTGAACGTGCATGTGCTTCTCCCCCTAATTCACTCAACCTTAACCATTATTTGGTTTTATTTCGCTGTCTGTTTGTTTGGAAGAGAGTAGAGCGGAGATTTCTTTAATCTCGATTGGGGGCTTCGTGTTTCTACCACTTCTCCATGCTCTGAACGTGTGCAGTCTTCCAGCTGAATGATTTTCACATCGAAAGAGCTCCTAACTGCATAATTTAGTAATTGGAACGTATCAAATTTAGTTTTCACCCATACAAGAAAATGCGAAGAAGCGAAGAAAACAAGCGTAGCTTTATCACTTATTGCAATCTGTTTCGGTTTTTCCATTTCTGCATTACAAATGAGAGAGGTTTCTATGTTTTTTTTTTTGTGGGGCGCCACACCCGAAATGGGGCACCTCGAAAAGCTCGAAAGAACAACAGAATTCAATTAAAAGTCTATGCACGCCATTCGAAACCAAAAATATTGACAAATGCTCCTTCTGCCGACAGGCAGGCTTGAAAAACAAGCTAAACAATGCGCCCATTGAACTCGAACCCTGATAAAAATTGTTTATGCCACATGTCATGGGTCTGGAAATCTTGTTATTCAGTTTGTTGGCCAGAAATTTTGGCCCTCTTGCAACGCACAGCAATTGCGGCAAAAGTTTAGTTTACCAAAAGGGGTTTCACATTTCAGTGGAATAATCAAACAAGTTTTCCCAGAAATTGCCATAGAATATCCAACATTTCGGCAGAATATCAATGCAGAATAATATTAATTTAAATAGTGCAGAGTATGGAAATAAAATTGATATGTAAACTGTATTCAGTGTGAATAAATTTCTAGGAATGATTGAGGTAAATTAAATTGATGTCAATATTTAAAAAATAAAAAAATCTTACATTTAAAGTGTATCAGAAAATTCTAATATATATATTTTGTTCAAAATTTAAATATATAATGTGAAATAGATCAGTAATGACCATTTTTTTTTTCTTGAAGTAGGTTTATTGCAATATACTCAAACAATTATCAGCTTTCCACAGTTTTACCTGCAGGCACTTCCGATTTTTTATTATTTAACCATTTTATACCTACTTCACTCTGGTTTTTAATGATTGATTATAAAACACAGGTCTGCCGTTGGTTAATTTTCTAAAGCACTGCAAAGAAAGAAGATTTCTATCTACATTTAATGACATTTCGTGGGGCAAAATTAAACAGCAGTTTAATGTCAACAAGAAAATGGTAGACAATGCCGAAAATTACGATCAGTCGATGGCTAGACAAAGTGGAAAGCCAACGAAGTGTGAAAGCGGCTCGAATCCTCATGGCAAACAGAAGCATAATTATCTGTTATCTTTGGCCAACACCAGCGATGGATTGACCCAACAAGTTAATGGGAAAACTCACATGTGCCCCCACCCACAAACAACCCCCCCCCCCCTCGATTTTCCGCACACACACCCCCGATTTTCGTCGATTTTCCTGTTGATGGACGACTGTGTGATGTGGTGGCAACTGCAGTTGCGTTATGCAACTCTTCTGTGGCATGGAAATTGTGTGCCACGATGCCATGCCAACCGAATTGCGGCCGCATCAGCAGCAGCAACAATTGCAAATTGTTTTGGTAGCAAAATTTGTGTGGCATCTTCGTTGTCTCCACGGCTTTTTTGTTTTTAGTTCCTCATGACAGCAGCTGCAGTTTGTCTCTCGTCTTGCAAAACTCAATTAAATATATATATAGTTATTTGGTTTTTGCCCCGGCTTTGATCTTCCTTTCTATTTCTGCTAAGGTCAGGCCGTAAATCAGTCGGCAAAACGAGCTTACATCGTAATTTTTATTGGAGTATTATGTGGTTCCCAATTATGGGGAGATTGCATTGCAGATGATTCATTTTTACCATCACCTTTTGGTATAAACTCTATATTTGTACGTGGAGTATTATTGCCAAAGAATAAAATATGGTTTTCCCAAGGCTTATGACACTTGAATAGAAGAATTTTTATCACCACCACTATTTTTTCCTATAAAGATGAAGTAATTATTTTTTTTTAAACCTTCTTGACATAAAAACAACACTTTTTTCTGAATTTTAACTAGCCGATATAAATATGATATAAGTTTTAAGATGAAGTTATTATTATTTAAAAACTGTTTGTGGTTTTTGAACATTTTTAGTATCACATTTTATATTTTCTAATTACAAAACCTTTTTTAAATTATAATTAAAATTGATATACTATCAATTTTTGGACAAAGTATCGGTTAAAAAAAACAATAAAAATGATTTCCATAATTTGCTTCTATGACATTAATAAAACCCTTATGAAGAATTTTAATTAGCTGTTATGAAAATGTTATTAGTTTTAAGATAAACCCATTATTTTTAAGAACACTTTGTGGTTTTTAAACATTTTTAGTATGACTTTTTATGTTTTCCCATTATAACTAATGGTTTGTCAAGTAAGATTTAGCTACTTGTGTGCCCGGAGGCCTAAGATCCACATTATAGCTGGGGTTCCACAAACATTTTGCGGAACCGCCCGCCTCTGGAGCATCATTTGCAGTTAGTGGTCCGTGCAGATGAAGCTGCAATAAATTGCAAGTTGCAGCCCGGCGGCAGCAGTTGCATGTTTGAGGTTTTGGGCCTGTTTGTGTGTGCTTGCGGATGTTTTGCGTCCAAATTGCCACTGTGAGTGACTTTGCCTAACTGCCTAACATAAAACCCACAAGACAAGAGGCTTCTGTTCCCCGGTTTGCGACAAGAGATCTCTCCATAAAATATATTGAAGTGCTTTGCATAAGTTTGAGGTCTCTGGCAATGGCTTATTGCATGTCGCCACGCCTCTGGGTTTAACCTTTGACTTTCCGAATGAAAGAAGAAAATCAATTAAGGCCAAACTTGGAAATTAGCCCGAGAAATTCACGCCTTACATCCATTAACGCACTTTATAATCAACTGGTGGCCCCAAATGTGGGTCATCCATTAAAGCGGACTTGAACCGAAGTCACATAGACGACCATTACAAATTGTGGATACTGCTCTTTTTCCTTTGCTTTTTCTATTATGTCAGCTTTTATCTGTCTCAGTTTGATTGTTTTCCATTTGGTCTGGCTGTGAATGGGTGACTCATGCAGGGGCATGCTGCCTTTTCAATGATTAAGCACAAATAGGAGTCCAGCAGCTGGTAACGCCCTCGAAAAAAGGAAGATACGAGTATAGAAGATATATAGATAGGAACAGTGAGTAATAAGATCTGTAAACATTCTGTAAACAAAATTTATATTAAATAAGCTTTAAAATATATTTATCTAAATGTATACAACTTTTGTAACCATTTAAAAAAAAAATACAGATCTCAAACCACTGAAGCTACAGCTTCCACAATTTTACCAAGTATTCTTTTTGTGGTTCTAACTTGTGCTATGAATGGATTTTTAACTCAACTAAAAAATATTTTAATATTAAGCTGGCACAGAAATAACTAAATTTTATATATTACTTATAAAGGTGTCTGAAAGTATGCAACACAAAATTTAGTATTACATTTTTTTGTTGCATACTTCTTGACGCCCATGTTAATAATTTCATAAATCTGGTAATATATGTCTATTATACAGACTATTTTAAGAATTTGTAGTTTTTATAAGTTAAGGTTGCAATTTTTAAAAACTAAATCTCTTTAATTTTAAAAATCAAGATTTTTCAACCGTAAATATTAAAATATTATAAAGATTGTTCTTCGATTTTTTTAATACATTAAGCTAAGGTTGGAATTTTCAAAAATTAAATCTCTTAAATTTGAAATATAATTTTAATATAATATTATTATTTTATTCTATATAGAATCCTATTAACCACTCTTAGTACAGTGTGCAATTGGTGAGGCCGGCACATGTCATCAGTCAGGCTAGAGTGAGCTCATGGTCTGGGATATACAATCGCATGCAAAGAGATACATTCGAGACAGTTCAACAATCAGTTGATGGATGCACTGTTTGCAGAGGGTCGCCGGGGGACAAATTGCCAGAAGCTGGCGACAATCGGAGCAAAAACCACACATAGATATAGATAGAAAATAGAGACGACAACTGTGGAGTCATATTAACGAAGAGAATTTTATCTCGCTTCTGGTTATATTGCCATTTTTTTCATTTTAAAAACTAATTCGAAGTGTAGATGACCTCAAAACCATCGGTCGTGGTCACTGCGGTCTTTATTTATTTGCACTCGAAATTGCTGTTCATTCATTTCAGTTGGCATCGTTTTAATTAGTTTATTAGCAACATCGATGCGGCTAAATATTTAACCGCATTTCAATAAATGAGCCAATAACGATAATCAAGCGGATTAAATATTTAAGCTGCCGCATTGCTGGTCTATTGTGAAAGAGATTTATTTGCCAATATGTGTGCAGTAATTTATTA